GTCGATTTGGTGTGTCCATGGTGAAGGTGAGTTCAGGGTGTTCTTACACTGCCTTCTTCGATTGGAACTCCCAAGATTTCTTTTTTTTTTTATTGAATAATACACATATTTAGTGAAATAATAGATATTTAATGTCATATAGTAATATTTCATTGTAATATATACACTGCGCTTTCTTTATCCATTCATCAGTATACACTTAGGTTGTTTACATATCTTGGCTATTGTAAATAATGCTGCAATGTCCCATTAACATGGGAGTGCATATATATTTTTGAGTTAATGTTTTTAGGTTTTCTTGGCTAAATATACAGCAGTGGAGTTACTGGATCCTATGGTAGCTCTCTTTTTAATTTGTTGAGGAACCTTCATGGGTTTTCTATAGTGGTTGCACCAATTTACATTGTCACCACCAGTGTAGGAGGGCTCACTCTTCTCCATGTCCTAGCCAGCGTTTACTATCTCTTGTCGTTTTGATAATAGCCATTCTAACAGGTAGAGGTGGTAGCTCATTGTGATACTGATTTGCATTTACCAGATGATGAGTGGTATTGAGACTCTTTTCACATACCCTGTTGGTCACCTCTCTGTCTTTGGAAAGATGTCTGTTCAGTTCTTTGGTCCATTTGTTAATCACATTGTTTTGCTATTCAGTTGTGTGAGTTTATATATTTTGACTATTAATCCCTTCTCAGATATATGATTAGCAAATATTTTCTCTTATTCAGTAGGTTGCCTTTTCATTTTGTCGATGGTTTCCTTTGCTGTATAGAAGCTTTTTAGTTTGATGGAGTCCCACTTGTTTATTTGTTCTTTTATGGTATTTGTTTTTGATGTCAGATCCTAAAAAGCATCGCCAAGACCAATGTCAAGGAGCACACCGCCTATGTTTTCTTCTAGAAATTTTAGGTTTCAGTTCCTACATTCAAGTCTTTAGTCTATTTTGAGTTGATTTTTGTGTACAGTGTAAGATAGAGGTCCATTTCCATTCTTTCGCATGGGGCTGTCCCGTTTTTCCAACATCATTTATTGAAAACACTGCTTTTTTCATGATAAATTTTTGGCTCCTTTGTCATAAATTAGTTGACCATATATGCATGGGTTTATTTTTGAGCTCTCTATTCTTTTCCATTCATCTATATGTCTGTTTTTATTCTAAAAGCCTACTGTGTTGATTACTATAGTTTCATAATATAGTTTGAAATCAGGGAGCGTGATGCTTCTGTTTTTGTTCTTTCTCAGGATGCCTTGTTTGGCTGTTTGGTTGTTTTTTGTTTTTTGTTTTTGTGATTTCATGCAAATATTAGGACTATTCTATTTCTGTGAAAAATGTTATTGGAATTTTGATGGGGATTGCGTTGAACCTGTAGATTGCTCTGGTAAGGCTTAACATTTCTTTTTTTTTTTTTTTTAAGATTTATTTATTTGAGAGAGTGAGAATGAGAGAGAGTACATGAGAGGGGGGAGGGTGACAGGGAGAAGCAGGCTCCCCGCCAAGCAGGGAGCCTGATGCGGGACTTGATCCCGGGACTCCGGGATCACGACCTGAGCCGAAGGCAGTCGCTTAACCAACTGAGCCACCCAGGCGCCCAAGGCTTAACATTTCTAAACAAAGAATGGTAGAAACTCAGTGGTCGAAGATGCTTCATTTAATGTCTCTAATTTTTTGGTTTAATCAAGAACTGGTAAAATTATCATTATTGGTAGGGATAGCCTTAAAAGAAGCACATAAAAAGAATATTACCACTGGGCTTCTTTGTGAGAAGATCAGGTTATGGATCCCAAATGACAGCCTAACTATTACCTGTGTGTAGAATTTTGACTTGAAAAAATGCTTGAGGGGTGCCTGGCTGGCTCAGTGGGTGGAGCATATGACTCCTGATCTTAGGATTGTGAGTTCAAGCCCCATGTTGGGTGTATTTTTACTTAAAAATAAAATCTTGGAAAAAAAATGCTTGAGAGCAAAACTTACCTGGTTAGTGTCCATGACCAGAAACAAACAGATAAACAAGGAGAGCATCACCTGAATTTCACTATTAGGATACATAAAACAAAACCACATAAGAAGAGAAAATTCACATTTAAGTTGGAAAATTTTCAATCTGATGCCATGAATATTTGAATTAGGATGAGTTGTGGAAGACAAAAAAAAATGTGCCTGGCTGGCTTAGTTGGAGGAGCATGAGACTCTTGGGGTCCACCATGGGTGTAGAGATTATGTAAAAATAAAATCTTAAAGAAAAATGTGTCTGGGATGGTTTCAAAGAATTGCATAAGTGAATACCTGGGAAATGCCTTGGAGTGTTGTAGAGTCTATGTAGGAAAGTATCTTAAATATTCACAAAGCTTGGGAGCTTTTCAGTTTATGTGAGACTGGTGATTTCCATTCATCCAAATAGTATATATTTCATCACAGATGAAAATATTAGGATGCACAGAAATAGAATTTCAACCAGTTAATCTCCTCTTAAGATTTTTTTTTCCTGATTCTAGAAAGGCAATGCTAAAATTTTTAAAGGGCAAGGCATATGGTGGACATTTGCTGTTATTTTGACCACTCAACATCTGAAACTCTTTTCTACTTTAGAATTCCCTGCTTTTTTGATCTAGGTGGTAGAGGCTGAAAAATTCCAGATGCTTGCTTTCCCATGCTTCTTTGGAGTTAATATGCAGACATATGACCTGGGCATCATCATTCAGATTCATCTGTACCAGATTTAGACTTAGGAGCTACTAACGAGAAACAAAACAAAACAAAACAAAAAAACAAGTAACAGCATACCCAGAGCAAAAATAGTCACTAAATTTAGAAATGATGATGTGTGTTCTCTCTCTTTGGAAAACACTGTAGTGGATGTTGGAAAAACCACTGATGAAGTCGCTCCTGGTACAGAACTAGGGTCAGTGTTATTGGGCAGCATGGGCACAATTGTAAGATCTCATTCCCTGCCGAGAGTCACTTAATGTTTTTAATCAACTTCTCTGATTAAAAAAAGGTAGTAACTGCTCATTCTGCCAAATTTAGAGAATATAGAAAAGGTCAATGTGTGTGTGCTTCCATGTGTATATATGTGTGTATATACACATACATGTAGGAATTTCTCCACAAAATTGGGAGCATATCATATAGTTTTGTGCCTCCCTTTTTAATGGTACTTTTTTTTTTAAGGATTTTTATTTATTCATTTGACAGAGAGCGAGACAGCGAGAGCAGGAACACAAGCAGGGGGAGTGGGAGAGGGAGAAGCAGGCTCCCCACAGAGCGGGGAGCCTGATGTGGGGCTCAATCCCAGGACCCTGGGATCATGACCTGAGCCGAAGGCAGAAGCTTAACGACTGAGCCACCCAGGCGCCCCTTTAATGGTATTTTTAATGCCATTCTTTGACAATACAGTTCTAAATAGTTGTATCATTTAATTGTTGTTATTGAATATTTAGAATCTCTAATATTTTGCTGTCATAATTCTTCAAAGAATATTCTTGCATATAAATCTTAAGACTAGATTTCTGCTTATTGCTTCAGGATAAATTTCTAGAGAGCAGATTACTAATTCCTGAAATTCAAACATTTTATTTTTTTGGTAAGTGTACTCTTTAATCCTCATCACGTATGTCACCCATGCCCCCCCCACCTCCCCTCTGGTAACCATCAGTTTGTTCTCTAGAGTTAAGAGTCTTTTTCTTGGTCTCTGTTTTCTCCCCCCTTTGTTCTTTTATTTCTTAAATTCCATATATGAGCAAAATCATACAGTTTTGTCTTTCTCTGACTTATTTTGCTTAGCATAATACCCTCTAGCTCCATCCATGTCATCGCAAATGGCAAGGTTTCATTCTTCTTTATGGCTGAATAATATTCCACTGTTATGTATACACACAATTATATATATATAATTTCATATATCTCTATGTTTGTCTATATATCATTTCATCTTTCAGTGGACACAGGCTACTGCCAAAATTTGGCTATTGTAAATAATGCTGCTACAAACGGGTGCATATATCCCTTTGGATTAGTGTTTTTGTATCCTTTGGGTAAATATGCAGTAGTGTGATTCCTGAATCATAGGGTAGTTCTATTTTTAACTTTCTGAGGAACCTCCATACTGTCTTCCAGAATGGCTGCATCAGTTTGCATTCCCACCAACAGTGCAAGAGGGTTCTTTTTCCTCCACATCCTCGTCAACACTTGTTTCTTGTGTTTTTGATTTTAGCCATTCTGACAGGTGTGAGGTAACAGCTCATTGTAGTTTTGATTTGCATTTCCCTGATGGTCAGTGATGTTGAGCTTCTTTTCATGTGTACTGGCCATCTGGATGTCTTCTTTGGAGACATTTCTGTTCATGTCTTCTGCCCATTTAATTGGATTATTTGTTTTGGGGACAAAGTTCTTTGTATTTTTTAGATACTAACTCTTTATCGGATGTGTCATTTGCAAATATCTTCTATTCTGAAGGTTGCCTTTTAGTTTTGTTTCCTTTGCTGTGAAATTTGAACCTTTTAAAGTTTCTCATACATTGTAAAATTTCCCTATATAGGTGGCTTACCCATTCTTGAATCCCTATACTGACACACAACTTTTATGGAACTGGAATGTCAGACAACATTTCTAAAAATAACGAATATGGCCCTTGTTATGAGAGTGTACTAGTCGCGTGGCCCTGCTGTGCTCTAGAGACATCATCACGTTTGATCCTCCCAATGACATTTTTTGTTGGTACTTTTAGTCACATAAATAAAATGGGGGAAAATGGCCAAAAATCTTCAGGTGACATAACTCATAAAATGTGGACCCGGGAATAAAGCATTATTTTTCTGATTTCAAAGTTCATTTTCTTTCCCCTGTATCAATGCCACCCCAGAATTTAGATCATTTTTGAGTTTTGAAATGGATACTTGGGAGGAGAGAAGTATGGGTAGTTGGAAGTAGTAGAGAGGAGGTGAGATGCAGTTAAAAAGGCCATGTTGTCTTAGTTAAAAGAGTTTACAAACTGACAAAACACAGTGTTAGCAGGGCATTTTAACCAGTGAGTATTTATTAAAAGCCGGGGGGGGGTGCACCAGGCACAGTTCTTGTCCAGGAGGCTAACAAATACAAAAGATGTAACCAATTCATTTATTAGCTTATCTGATTAAACAAAATACATTTCACAGAAATGATTATAAAATGCATTGCCAATAGAAACAGAGTATCATTTATATTACAGATCTTATGGTACCTAAATAATTATTAATAAAAACCAGCCATCCCATATGGTAGATAGAAGTTAGGAAACCACCAGTTACTTCTTTTAGTCAGCAAAAGAGAGAAGCATGCATTTGTCATGCTGAGAGGGGTTTCAGCATTCCATATAGGCATCCTGTTTCAAAACTTTAACATAGTCCACCTATAAACTTAAAAAATCAGTGTTTTTCATCCAGTATCAAATCATTTTGTACTTTTTGGTTTAAAGATTAGTTTTGGTTTCAGAGTAAGTTTCATTTAGTACTTGTCACATGTGGTCATAGATTCTTGATGTGGGGTGGGTGATGAACAGTCCAATTAAGTGTTAGTTATAGGAACAAAACAAAACATAAACAGGATATCTTTAATCTGCTTTGTGGTATTCCTGCCTGTCCTGAATTGAGAAGATACACAGGGTGATTTCAAGCAGAACAGAACAGCAGAAGAGCGGAAAAGAAAAAATGCTGGTGTTTGTTTGAGGCAAGTCTGTTTTGGAAGAGTCAGGGCTAATTCTTGAAAGGACCGTATCGGGTTTTTGGCACATGATCTATCCCTTAGTTCGAAGGCTGGTTCAGAGGGGTGTAAAGGAGAGAAAAGGAGCGCAGAAAGGACTAAGAAGGCACGAAGTGGAGTGTGTTTGCTGACACAGTCACGAGAACTGTGGAACCACAATCATCCGAACGAGTGTCCACCAGGCCTGTCCTGAGACCTCCAGAGATGGGTCTGTGTTGTTCAGGCAGCAGCACTGAGAACTTCCTCAGAGACAGCGGGTCAATGTTTATTGCACAGTAACCAGAATTATCCCGCCCCCACCCCTTCCTGAGCTGGAGACCTTCAAGTGCAAACATGGCTGGGGATGCCCGTCTGTCCGCTCCTCTGGCCAGCAGGGAGCGCTCCGCCAGAATGCCGAGGGGAACACCTTCTTCAAAGGGAAGCTCGAGGTATCTGTTGGCCTGAACAATCCAGTCTGTCAGTCACCATTCTCAAGCAGCTTCTGTAGGTTGTTTTGTATCTGGGAATAATGAGAGAGAAGTTCCTGTTACTAAATAGAATGGAGTCTATCAAGGGTCCATTTGCCATGACCTGTGTAATGTTTGAGATTAATCTATCCTACCTTGAATAAAAAGGCACTGGGGCGCCTGGGTGGCTCAGTCGTTGAGCGTCTGCCTTCGGCTCAGGTCATGATCCCAGGGTCCTGGGATCGAGCCCCACATGGGGCTCCCTGCTCCGCGGGAAGCCTGCTTCTCCCTCTCCCACTCCCCCTGCTTGTGTTCCTGCTCTCTCTGTCAAATAAATAAAATTTAAAAAAAAAAAAAAAAAAGCCACCCCCTGGGTTCAATTTAGATCAGGCAAATGCTGCTTAATGGATCCCAACTCCGTTGATAATCCACTTTAAAATGAAAAAAAAAAAAGGGCTAAATATGAAAAGAGTGGCACAAAGATGAAAGTGTCAGGAGAGACCGAGAGAAATCAGATGGAAGGAGAAGAACAAAGCCCTGGCAACACCAAGTGTGACCTAAATGCAGAGATAATGGGAAACCGATCCTTACAGAGCCTGTGTGTCATGTAGTGTCTGATTCAAACCATCAATGTTTAACACTCCTACTAGATACTACCCATTTCCCAGAAGACTGAGTTTCAAGGCCCAGGGTCCATGACGTATCTTTGGATCTCGAGACTACAGTACAGTGTTGGGCATCAAAAATGTGCTCAGTAGATGTTTGTTGAGTAAGTGAACTTTCAAGAATTCTGAGCAAGGAATTCTCAACAAGCAATACTGTGATGGGAGTGGGGAACCCCATGGAACAAAAGAAAGATTTTATATATATATATATATATATTTTTTTTTTATTTGAGAGGGCACAAGCATGAGTTGGGGGAGGGGCAGAGGGAGAGAGAGAATCTCAAGCAGGCTCCCCACTAAGCGCGGAATGCAATGCGGGGCTCTATCCCAGGACCCTGAGATCATGACCTGAGCAAAAAGGCAGACTCTTAACAGACTGAGCCACCCAGATGCCCAGAAACCAAACATCTGTAAGCATGCCATGAAACATAAAAAAATTCTCTTCAATTCTCAGCAACTCACATTTTAGAAAAGAAAACACTTTGGGTGCCTACACCCGACCTTCTCTAGGATGATTTTGAGTTAAAAAAAGAAAAAGTTTCCAAGTTTGTCCACGGGTTCAATAGGAATTCTAGGTCATCCTTTGGTTTAGAACTGAACTTTGGAAACTCCTTGGAGCTCAGTACTTCAGTAGCTGAATGCTAACTACCATTTAGTCTTAGCAAAACTAAGCTAATTTGGCTCATTTGTATTTCACTTTTTTTTTTAAAGATTTTATTTATTTATTTGACAGAGAAAGAGAGACACACAGCGAGAGAGGGAACACAAGCAGGGGGAGGGTCAGAGGGAGAAGCAGACCCCCTGCTGAGCAGGGAGCCCGATGTGGGGCTCGATCCCGGGACTCCAGGATCATGACCTGAGCCGAAGGCAGTCGCTTAACGACTGAGCCACCCAGGCGCCCTTGTATTTCATGGTTCTTACCGAGTAATCACGAGTACACTGTTAGGGGAAGCCACCACATGCTGGGCATTTGTGGTAACAGTTTGAACTGAACCCTGCACTTGAAAACCTTTCCTTAAGGTTTAGGGCAGAAACAAACCACCAGATGGAAGAGCTAGACATACGCTGGAAGGAGAAGTGAAGAAATGTTAATTAGGTCTAACTCTGGGCCATTTCTCCTGTGTCCATCTTCCTGTCCGCCCTCCTCCTGGCTTTGAAGAATGACACAGGCTTCAGGACAGATTTGCTTGAGAACTGCCCTACTGTTAGATACTTCTAGAGGGTAAAGGTACATCAGTGGCTTTCCTGACAAGGCCTCAGGTTGGACTGTGAGGAGCAGCAAACACCACTTTGGAATCCGACCTGGTTCAAATTCCAGATCTGCCAGCTTTCTCTGCATGTCTCCTTGAGCCAGTGACTGGACTCTTCGTCTGTCAGAAGAGTGACATCCATCTGGCAGGGTTCTTACAGAGACTGAACACAGTATTGCACGTATGGCAACCATCAGCCTGGGTGGGGCCGGCTGTGTGCCTCCACTGAGCCCTGTGTCAGCAGTCACTGGCCACCGGGCCCTTGTGGTAGACAGAAATCTTTCTAACTAAGGAGGAAAAGCCAAAGACACACCCATAAGGAGAATGAGACTGAAACCAATTTCTTGGTGGAAATTAAAAAAAAAAAATACTCTTTCCTATTTACTGTGACATCCCCTGGCTGGGTTTTTGGTCACGGAGGCTGCTTGCTACACCCTGAAGGTGTTTGCGCGCATAATCCCTGCTCTCTGGCTGTCAAGACGCACTATGGCTCCCGCCCCAACCCAGGAAATGGATGAGTCACCTTTTCTAATTTCATTATGTTAGCCGTCAGCTCTTGGCAGAGGACCTCCACACTGAACTGTACTTGTGACCCCAGGCCGGATGGTGCTGTCTGTCTGTAAGAACAAAGAGAAAAATGATTGTGGGCAGGGGATGGCAAAGGAAGAAGCAGAATGAACACATTTTAAATTTATTTGAACAGAAGACTCGGTTACAGTAGTCGACCATGAGCCTTTCACTTGTTAACGTCGGGAAGGCCCTGTGGTAGGCCCCCCGGGGCTGCGCGGACGTGGAGGGGACTGCATCTTAGCAGCTCAGCTGGACGTCTCTTGAGCTGTTTTTGTTGAGGTGGCAATGTTGTGCCCTGGCTTCAGAACAAAAAAATCAGGCAATTCTGCTCAAGCACATGGTTTCTTAGACCTCTTGTGCCCCTCAGATCCTTGCTGCCCCCACCAGAGCAGAAATGGGCAAGAATCATTGCTCTTCTCAGTCACAGGCTTATTTCTCATGGGAGGAGGGACCATTTACACAGGAACTTTCAGAATGTATAGGGATTTTAGTCAAATTGCTGCTCAAGTGTGAGACTTTTGTAGTTTTTTTTTTTTTGGTTTTTTTTTTGAGACTTGGCCATGCCCATGTAATTGCCCTTGTCTTATAATGGAACATGTATTCATTGTGCACCATTTGAACTACTTATGGCAGGAGCTCTTCCCCAGGGCCCACTGGGGTCCTATACCAGCTGAAACTGTAGGAAATTGAGAGCTGTATGTACATTTTCCTGGAGAGATGGTCTAAAAAGCCGTTGATCAGATTTTCATATTAAGGTTAACAACCCTGGTCTCTTATCTTCTCCATATTTCTTGGTTGTAATTTATTTAGCCATTAAGTTTTTATTTTATTTTATTTATTTATTTTTAAAGATTTTATTTATTTGAGAGAGAGAGAGAATGAGAGATAGAAAGCACGAGAGGGAAGAGGGTCAGAGGGAGAAGCAGACTCCCCGCTGAGCAGGGAGCCCGATGTGGGACTCGATCCCGGGACTCCAGGATCATGACCTGAGCCGAAGGCAGTCGCTTAACCGTCTGAGCCACCCAGGCGCCCTAGCCATTAAGTTTTTAGATGGCAGTGATGGGTCTAATTATTTTACACATGTACTTGGTGAATGACTGATGATCGTCTAAACATTAAGAAAGCCATTATATTTTTCTGTTTACCCTTACTAAAAATAAACAATTCTTTCTTTATCCCTGAGCCATACCATCAAAATCTTAGATCCCAAACAGGAACCTGAAGGGGAATCTTTCAGTGTCTAGAGGCAAGAACGGAGACCCACAGAGCTGATGGGTCAACATGTAATTCTGACAGCGTACAAGCTACGGACACACTCACAAAGTCGGTAAAAGGTACGGATTCCGTGACAACTAACCAACCCACTTACAAGTGCAGGTCTAGCTACTGGGCAGCATGGCTGGATCACCTTGGCAGGGAGAGACATGGGAGAAGCTCAGGTCCCTATAAATTACTTTATGAACATCTTCCCGTCATGGGTGTTCCTGGTCTCATGTCATAAATAATCCTTGTGATTTTTCCTTTAAATGATGATTTTTCAGACTGTACTTCTCCCTAAGTTGATTATTTAAAGAGTGGACTGAATATGCCTTTTGTCCTTGTTAGTGGAGTTTCCCCCCTCATCATCACCAAGTTAACAAAATGATAATAGGACATGAGGTACATTTTTGTGTAAAAAAAAAAAAAAAATCAACCCTATATATGATACTGAACTAGGAAGGCATGCTAGATTAGTGTAGAAAAAGTATGTTAACATTTTTTTTTAAGATTTATTAATTTGAGAGAGAGGCAGAGGGAGAGGGAGAAGCGGACTCCCCGCTGAGCTGGGAACCCGACACGGGGCTGAATCCTAGGACCCTGAGATTATGACCTGAGCCGAAGGCAGACGCTTAACCATCTGAGCCACCCAGGCGCCCCTGTATGTTGACATTTTGAACAAGATGGGAGAGAGGAAGTAAGGGCAGGGTATATATCTGTTCTAGACTGTTCTTTATATTTCCGTATTATTGGCTCAAAGGTATATATTATGGTTCAAAAAGAACCTGTATGCCAGCAGACGTGTAAGCCACAGAACAAGACTTTTAGGTAGTTGTTTGAGCATAAAGAGGCCCTAGAATGGTATAGTCTAATAGTTCTCCAAGTGTAGAACCAGGCCGGCACCATCAGCATCACCTGGGAACTTGACAGAAATGCAAATTCTCGGGCCCTCAGTTCTCGTTCATCAGAAACTCTGGGGATGGGCCCTGCAATCTGTTTTAACAAGCCATCCAGATGATTCCGAAGCACACTCTAAACAGCCTAATCCAATTCCCAGGCTGTACCTCACAACCAAGCCATTGGTAGACTGGAAAGCCTGTCCTCCATGTAGTCATACAGGTGTGCATCTGAGTCCTGATTTTATTACAAACTGTATGACATTAAATTATTTATTTGGCCTCATTGTCCTCGTCTGTAGAATGGGAATAAAGGCTATCTTAAAAGGTTATGGTGAATAAAATGAGAGGAAATTGTGCATATATATATATCTATAGATATATATATATATCTATAGATATATATCTATTCTAATAGAGTCTCTAGCACATGGTATAAACTCTGTAAATGAGTATCTCTACTTTTAGAACTTAAGTTAGGCACCTGGCTGGCTCAGAAGAGCACATGACTCTTGATCTCTGGGTCACGAGTTTGAGCTCCACATTGGGTGTAGGATTACTTAAAATAAATAAACTAAAAAAAACCAACAGTTAAAAAAAAAAAAACTTGGGTTAAAAGTATGCTTTCTAACATGGGGTAATTTATTTCACTTTTTAGGTAATGGATCAAAATTCTTATGTATATGCATTTGAAGGAAAGAGCTCTATGTCTGAAAGGTTTAATTAGGTCAGACATGTTAAAAATGACAGTGATGGAAAATCTTCACAGATGCATTCAGCTAATTACTAGTCACAGAGATCTTAAAAGTGGTCAAGAGTTTCGTCAATATAAGAGTTAATGCATGATAAATGAGCTGAGTTACTTCCACTGCTTCTTTCCTATTAATGTCTTCACCCACTGCCATTTTACTAAGATAAACTGGTATATTTTAATAAATAGGCCAAGGTCACAACTGAGTCTTAGGCTACCAGAACAAGATAATGTAAAATCAGGCTTGTTTCTTGATAAACTGGCAACACTCTAGCAAGAACAATTCAGAGTCAGGGCATTCATCTCTAGGACCCTCCCACCTACCCCTTTACTTCCCACAGATAGGCTTAACAGAATGTCTCCTACAGAACGTAACCTCGACTCATGGTTGCTGAGAAGGACGGTAAGTGCCCAACATTACACTAGTCTCAGTAGCAAGCAGATGACAGCACAGGAGGGAATCGTCTTACTCATGATGATGAGTGTCCACAATGGAGGTTAGCGACCCCAGCCTCTCCTCCAGAGTATTAATTCTGTATCTCATGTAGAACGTCGAGATGATTAGTGCACAGACACTGCAGAGGGATAAAAGAGAAATTCTCAATAGGCTCATGAACTGACACGAAACCATCAACTCAGAGCCAGTGTTGTACCTTTAAGGCAAGATATTCTCCAAAATTAACTTGCCACAGAGACTTGAAAAAGGTCTTTTTTCAACAGGCTGATGCTTGTCAACAACTTGAGAGCTAGAACAGGATTTAAAATCTTCTGGCCCAGGTTCCTCAACTCACAAACAATGGCCATTCTACTAGGGTCCCGTGAGGCCTTGCCCGAGGTGGATGACAAAGCTGTGCTCCCTCTCCCCCGTGGCGCCGTGGCCCTTCCTACGAGTGCCCAGTCTTCACAAGCTCCCTTCTTTATCTGCAAACAAAAGTGGGCACATCCTCCTTGGTAGTAAGGAACAGCCTAGAACCGGGCCAGCCTATTTTCAGAAAAACAACTGGCTAAAGGCTGGAAGCTGAGGGGAAATGTCTTAAAGTCTATGCCTGAGTGTTCACAGTTAAAGGGATGATGGCATTTTGACGTTGTTTGGGTCTCCATCCGGAGAACATGGGATAGATGAGAAAATAAATAGTAAGGCTAAAGATGCTTCATCATCCACAGAACAAGGTTCTTACTAATAGTATCCACTCAGAATGTAGTCCTCTGCTGGAATTGACCCAATTTGGTCTTCCCTCCTCCCTCTATTTATTTAAATAAGGAGATGAATAGGAAAGTGTGACCTAAGCCTAAGGAAAACAAAATGCTGGAATAGGAGATACAAATTGTAAAAGGAAAGATGTGGGTCACATGAGGCAACTGGGATGTACAATGACTCTTGGAACTGTGCGATTATTCTTTTAGAGAGGTGAATGATTTTAAGTCACTCATAGTAAATTTATCTACTTACATGATTGCGTAAAATATGAGAATATGGTGGAGAGTCGTACATGTCTGAGACCTGACCTTGTGTAAGACTCCAATGGTTTCTGACTGACCTGTTGTGGGGAAAGAAACAAAAAAACAAGACAGTTTTAAAACTACAGCACACCTCCTTCATCCAGCAAAGTCCCTATGGGGAAGAGGTACTTGAAAGAGGTAATTCCCGGATAACAGACACTGAAGAAAACACTGACTGAAGCCTTCCCGGTGTCTACCCTTGCTCTCATATCAGTATAATTGGTAAACAGCTACTAGAATACTTACTAAATAAGCAGTAATTTAATAATTTGAGTTTTATCACCAATTTTTGAATAACATTCTCAAATACTAAAAATAATGAAGGGACCTCCAGGAAGGCTATTCACCTTTGTATCCCTCACAATAAAGCACAGAACTGGATACCGTTTGGTGAATGAGTACATGAATTAATATGCACAGAACGAAGACCTACAGCAAGAAGGGAGGGGATATGAAAGGCAGTCATAAAGTGAAAGAATGAGGGCCTTTTATTTTTTATTGAAGATTTCATTTCTTTAGTGAGAGAGAGAGTACACTAGTAGAGGGAGGGGCAGAGGGAGAGGGAGTAGACTCCTCACAGAGCAGGGAGCGCGATGCAGGGATTGATCCCAGGACCCTGAGATCATGACCTGAGCCAGAACCAAGAGTGGGATGCTTAACCAACTGAGCCACCCAGATGCCCCTGACATCTGAGGGCCCTTTAAAAGTTACAAGCAGATGACCGCCACCACCCCCTTTACCCAAGACATTCTGTTCCTTACCATGTACAGGGAGATTCTTGGCTTTTCCTTCAGGCACTCTATTCACATGGGCATCTGCCCGAGTTGGTTTTGTTTCTCCCTTGGAGACATTCAGAACTGTCTGGGATTCTGTCACATGGAAATCTGTCAAGCCAAAATGGGGCTGGCTAAGTTTTCTTCCCGATGCATTTAAAAACACAGCATCAACCAACGGAGCAAATCAATCTCACAACATGCATAATGGCTGAGAATATAAATGGATCTTCTCACATGTTGGTTTAATGGTTAGGTATTGAAATTCAATGCGTAAGGAAGTCAGAAAATTATATGACAGTCTGCCCTTAGCCCACTGACTCATGGGGACCGTTCAGCTAGAACAGTGAATAATATGACTGAAAGAAGAGGTAAAAAAGACATTTTGTGTTTTTCAACCACTCTACTATTGTGTCGATTTAAGAGACATTTATTAAATGTGTATAAAGAAATGGATTTTTACCATGGAGACACTTCCTTTCCCTAAAACTTTCGAACTACCCTTTCTCCAGAGTCCCTTCTCAATTGTTAATTAATTGCTAATTAGTCCCTTCTTAATTACTTGACAAGGTGGTTTTTGTTGGTGGTGTTTTTGTTTTAAAGGGGGGAGATGAGGATATTTGGTGGAGCATTACATTTTGGTTAACATACAGAAATTTCTCAGACCTCGCGAGTTCTCGGATTCAGGAGTCTGAGACCCAGAGCTGCTGTATCCTTCCATGTCTTGCCTTCTTTGTCGAACCACTCCATCCAGATCTGAGAATTCATCGTTGAAATCCTGAAGGGAAACAAGGAAGTGTACAGAGTCCAATTCCCCTCAGTAAACAGACAGGCCTCTGTAACCCCCAGCCCTTTCACTTAGGCCTCACCTATAAAATACTGAAAGAGAAGGGAGGATTATTCCATACCGCTGGGATTTCCCCAACAGATCAGAGTATCTGATGACCGAAACAGATTTTTCTGGGCAGTTAAAATCCTGTCAGCAGTGGCCAACTTGTTTGAAACAACAAATGTCTAGAGAAAGAACTGCTGATGACTGAAAAGTTTCCAGAGTCAAACTGGAAAACTCTCATTAGCACTCTGTCATGAGAAAAAGTGAATGACGCAGATGTATACGAGAAAAAAAGAGACGCACGGTTTTCTAAATCCATGTTCTAAATGTGAAGGTATCCTTTAAATCATAGTTTAAAAAAAAGGTATTGGGCTGGCTCAGTTGGTTAAGCGACTGCCTTCAGCTCAGGTCATGATCCTGGAGTCCCGGGATCGAGTCCCGCATCGGGCTCCCTGCTCAGCGGGGAGTCTGCTTCTCCCTCTGACCCTCCCCCCGTCTCATGCTCTCTCTCATTCTCTCTCTCAAATAAATAAATAAATAAAATCTTAAAAAAAAGGTATTGGAGATGAAAGAAAAAATGGCTTGAACAAATTAGACACTGAAAGCAAATTTTTAGCTTTTCTTCCCCCCTCAACCAAATCAAAAGAGAGTCTGTGCTATCACTTTTGAATTATAGAGGGAGGAGAGAGGGGTGAGCAGTAGGGAAAAAGCAGGGATGTTTTACTTTATATCCCCCAAATGCTTAAGAACCGGTGTCTTAAGAACAGGTGTCTTGTACTAGCTCTCTTGGGATCATTTCAATAATTCATTTCAATTTCATGCAAGAATATATAGGGGATAGAAAGTTGAAGAATTCAAGTCTCTTCGATTTAATAATTATTGACTGAATGCCTATCATGTATCAGGCAGTATGCAGAGCTCGTTCGACAGATGACTGCACTTAATCTTCACCCCCGCATCATGAGGTTGGCATTTTGCTGGATGAAGAAACTGAGTCAGAGCAGTCAAAGAGCTTGTCTGATGGCATAACTCAGCTGGGTGGAACCCAGATTTGAAACCAAGTTTGTTGGATTACAAATCATATGTGTTGGCTTCTATTTTGTACTACTTCCCACTCCTTCCCCCCACCCCAACCAGGTGTTTTTTTTTTTTAGTTGAGATAAAAATTTATGTAATATAAAAGTCGTCATTCAAAGCATATAATTTAGTGGTTTTTAGAATAATCACAACATCAAGCAGCTTATTTCAGAACATTTCCACCACCCCCAAAGTGAAACCCTTTACCTAGTAGCAGCCACTCCTAATTTCTCCTTCCCCCAACCCTCAGCAACCACTAATCTACTTTTCCTATCAGTTTGTCTGTTTGGGACATTTCATATAAATGGAATCATACCATATGTGGCCTTTTGTGTCTGCCTTCTTTTGCTTAGCATCGTGTTTTCAAGGTTCTTCCATGTTGTATGTGTCAGTACTCCTTCCTTTATATTCTACTGTATGGACATACTACATTTTATTGATCCATTCAGCAGATGATGAATGTTAGAATTGTTTCTATTTTTAGGCTATTACGAACAGTGCAGCTGTGAACATTCTTTTTTTGAAGATTTTATCCATTCATCTGAGATAGAGCGAGAAAGAGAGGGCTCGGGGAGGGAGAGGGAGAAGCAGACTCCCTGCTAGAGCAGGGAGCCCAACGTGGGACTTGATCCTGGGACCACGAGATCACGAACTGAGCTGAAGGCAGATGCTTACCCGACTAAGCCACCCAGGCGTCCCAGCTATGAACATTCTTGGACAACTTTTTATGTGTACAAGTTTTCAATCCCTGTACTATTTGACAGCTCTCAAAAAGAAAGATTTGGAGATGTGAAAACCATGGGCTCATACCATTGCACTCAAGGTATTTCAACATTTAACTAATCATTTTGGGAATAAGCACTTGAATAAATATGGCAAGGACTCTCTTGGGCCAACATTATACCATCATAGGTATAAATCTTGTACAAATGGGGGGAATTACTTTTCACTGGAGATTTACTATATAGTCAATGAAATCTAAAGGGGAAAAAAAAAAAACTCTTTCACTTGGTCACTACAGAGTTCTTTTACAATTATTTCTGGATGTTCCTCATCTTTTCTACTAAGCTGTAAAGTCTTCAAAGGCAAGAACTAGTTTTGATTTTTCTTGGTGTCTTTACAGCATACACTAGCACAGTGCCTGGAACAAAGAAGACAATCAACGATTTGTGGGGATGAATCATGCCCCTACCCTAAGAGACTGGTGAATCCCTCTAAAACAACACTGACAAGCAAAGACAGCAAGATTTTACAAACACCTCCACTGACCACTCACTCGCCCAGACAGTCCACTAAACTGTTTCTTTCGGAGGACAGCTCTTTAGTTACTTGAAAAAAGTTTATAGCCTCCTATGTCCCCCCTTTTCTTCAGCACAGAAATGCCCTGTGTCTTCACATTTTAACTCAGATATTAAGGTCTACACTCCTTCCATCCCCTGATCCTGGTGTAAGGAGAAGTGTGATTGTGGGACACATGCCCTTTTGGTGGGATTTAGATAGTTACGTAGGCAACTCACCAGAGGCAGAGATGAAGGACGGTCTGCCCGGAAACTGTTTTCAAGAGAAGATGGGTTGGGACTGTTCCCGACGCTCGTGTTCTGAAATTAATGAAAAAATGAAAAACCAGATCAACTAGGAAACCAGAGGAAATAGAAAAGAGAGACAGCAACCGAGGCTCAGGAATGTTGTACTCACTTCTAAGTGTCCACACACAGATTTTAGTAGCTTGTAAGTAGAATCTCTGGAGAGTAGGGAGACAAATATGTACTGAAAAACAAGACAGAGTCATTATTAACAGATACTGCCTGGAAAGGTGTGAGGGTTCAGAGTGCAAAAAATTTATCTGTGTATAATTTTTTTCCTTTTTAAATGATGGAGACTGTTCTTTGGTCTACAGTCTCATTCACCCACACATTTTTTTTATTCCATTTCTGTAATAAACCAAACCTCTTCCCCCACAACAGCAACAAAACCATCACACCTCATTTAAGTAATAAAGCAACAGAGAGCAACATGAAGGCTCTAATACGCTGACACGGATGCCCCAAACATGCGCAGGCAGGCTTAAAAATAATAATGATGATGATAAAAAAAAAAAAAGGCTAGTGATATTTGCTAGATCCTCTTTAAAGCTTGTTCCCCTGCCCCCTTTCTTTTAAGGTATTTAATAATTCCCAAGGGTCCTCTCTGTTCTGACCTAGATTTCCATTAACAATTTCCCAGAGGCTCTCACAGGCTTGTTCTTTTTCAAGCCACTTCCAGATTCTCCCTTGTACAAATACAGAGATTTTCTAGTGGATGCGTATACATACGCGATGGGAAAGAAGTGAAATCAGATGAGACAAAGAATTTGCAGACACAGGACATAAGGGAAAACGATTTTACCAAGAACAGTATGTTAAGAAAATACTAAAACTCAGTCTTCCTCCGTCTGTTTGGGCCACAGAATCTTTTCAGAGCCCCTTTCCAGAAGTTTGTGATTATCCTTTCACTCATCGACAAGAGCACTTGATAGGCTTTCCCAGCAAGCACGTGTATTCCAAAGGAGTTAACACTGTGGATTCTGCCGTTAGACCTAGTTGCTAGGTCTGGCTCTGCTGCTTACAAGAGGGTACTGGGCAGACTGCTACCACTCTTGGCTTCACTTTTTCTTTTCTTTTGAAGATTTTATTTATTTATTTACCCAGAGTATGCGGATGGGGGGGCAGAGGGAGAGAGAGAATCTCAAGCCGACTCCGCGCTGACTGCGGAGCCCAATGCGGGGCTCAATCCCACGACCGAGATCGTGACGTGAGCCCAAATCAAGTCTCACACTCAAGCGATCCTTGGCTCCAGTTTTAACACCTACCCCTCCTAGGTAGCAGTGTGGAATCAATGTAAAAACAGAAGGAAAGCATTTAGCATATGCCTGACGAGAAGTACTTAATGCTTGTTAGCCATTAATATTAAAACTTTTTTTTTCAAAATATTAACCTATTTCCCACCTCATCAGATTAGGCTCTTTTGTCTTTTCTCCACCCACCTTCCCTCTTCAAGTTACCCAGTAGGGTTAGAAATGGAATGCAGCTTTTTTGCTTTCATTGAAATAGTAGGTAAAATCTTAAAAAAATAATTTCAAGTGAGAAATGAGTAGGTGAACTGTTCTACTCCCGCTTTCTGGCCAAACTGAAATGAACAGCACTCTCAATGCAAATATTTCTCATTGCAAGTGTGTGGGGCAGCCCAAGTCAGGAGTAGCTCTAGAATTTCTATACAGAACAGTACTTGAAGCAACATGGAAGCAAAGGGGGAACTGGTCCTGAAGCTGACCATGCATGGCAAGCACCAGGTTGACGTATCTGGGACGGCTCTGGAGAGGGACCAAGTAAGGTTCTGGGGAGGGTGGCCACCCCACCCCAGAGACTCTTCAGTCTCAGCCTACCTCACCCCCTCAACCATGTGGTGGCTGTGGCTGTTTTAAATATTAAAGAAACTCAATATATCAGCTTAGCCTCTTCTAAGAGATATTAGGGAAAGGGAAGTTGGGAAAGAATTTTATGTTTTCGACCTTGGCCAAGCAAGTAGAATTAAGTCAGCAGGAAAATCAAAACTGTCAACAATTATATTAGAATAAAGCACCTTGTGAGGGGAAACAATATACAAACAGGACAAAGCGAAGGTGCCTCGCTCCAAGGCCTACTCACCCGGTCTGTGACTGTCGCTATAATCAGGGCATTTGGCACCAGGAGGGCAGTTTTGGTTTTCTTTATTAGGGTGACTGAGAACGCCGGAATAGAGATCTGAAACAGAATCAGTTAAAACTGGTTCAGGCTTCACTGAACACGACTTCAAATCTTTATGTTGAAGGTAAAAAAAATTTTTTTAAAGTTTAACAAAGAAATCAAAACCACCAGGGAGCTCTCCAGCCTCCAGGATGAAAAGCGAGTCTCCTCAACGTTTACAAAGCCAGAGGGTAAATCTGCATCATTAATTCTACTCAAGGGCTGGGCAAGAAACCTTTGTCTTGAGATAAGGGAATGAATGCAAAATGCACAGTCATCTTAAAGATAGGCCCAGGGCTCTAAAGAAATTGTGTGCTTGTGGTCATCCACTTAGGGCCAATCTCCGCACACGCCCGGCTCTCCTCTACCCTTAGGCACGTGCGGGCAGGGAAAACCTTGACAAGCACGGCATAGTGGAACCACACTACTGGACAGTCTGGGACCTCAATTCTCAGCTATGTTACTTTCATGACACTGAATAAAGGAAACCTCATTTAAAATACAGCCTGGAGGGGCGCCTGGGTGGCTCAGTCTTTAAGCGTCTGCCTTCGGCTCAGGTCATGGTCTCAGGGTCCTGGGATCGAGACCCGCATTGGGCTCCCTGCCCGGCAGGAAGCCTGCTTCTCCCTCTCCCGCTCCCCCTGCTTGTGTTCCCTCTCTTGCTGTGTCTCTGTCAAATAAAAATAAGATCTTAAAAAACAAAACAAAAAAACCTCTTCATCTAAAAAAATTAATTAATTAAAATGCAGCCTGGAGGCCAGGAGGGGGCGCTCTCAGGCACCACCTCTGCTCCTCAGTTGCAGACCCCAACAGGAATAAGCCCACTTGACTACCCACCCCAGCAGGAGGAAGGAAGGATTTCTCCTTGCCCAGCAACAAGCTCAGTCAATGAGAAGGCCTGAACACTCACTTCTCTCCAATGGACTTTTGTCTAAAGCAACTGCTCCCAACTTCCTTCTTTTCTCTGTAATTTAACATTTCTCTCCTTCGATCTCGACTTGCCTATGGTTTGCCTACGGTTTGCCATGGCTTGCATGGCTCAAATTGTGATTTCTCTATTCCTGAATAAACCCGTTTTGCTGATAAAACAAGTGGCTGTTTTACTTTTCACGGTCCACTCTACGCGACCTACTCGACCTTACAAGCTACCCTTTCTAAGCCTGGTTCCTGATTTGTAAAATGGAGATAATCTGCCCTGCTTCCCAGGATTTTCTGTGGATTAAGTGAGGTAATATATGGAAAATGCCTAGCACTCATGAAGAAAGTGATGTATTGTGCTTACTTTGGCAGGACATATACTAAAATTAGAATGATACAGAGAAGATTAGCAGGGCCCTGCACAAGGATGAGTGCAAGTTCATGAAGTGTTCCATATATATACTTTTTTTTTTAAAGATTTTATTTATTTGACAGAGACACAGCGAGAGAGGGAACACAAGCAGGGGGAGTGGGAGATGGAGAAGCAGGCTTCCCGCGGAGCAGGGAGCCCGATGTGGGGCTTGATCCCAGGACCCTAGGATCATGACCTGAGCTGAATGCAGACGGTTAATGACTGAGCCACCCAGGGGCCCGTGAAGTGTTCCATATTAAAACAAACAAAAAAAAGTCATTTATTTCCTCATTCGTTTCATAAGAGGATGGATGAAATGAACTCTAACTTTATTTTCTGGTTCAAATGATAGAGAATTACAACAGATGAGAATGTCATTTAATTAGGACAGTCTTATGAAGTACATATTCTGAGAAATTAGGACGTGTTCAGAGAGGTAGGTGCTCGTCCAAGTTCATAAAAATAATAGGTTACAACAATGGAATTTGAACCAATCCAATCCAAAATGTGGGTTCTTTTTCATACAATGTATTACAAGCATGTACCAGATAACAGGAAGAATAGATGTTCCAATAGTTTTGTTATATCCCCCCAAGCCAGTCTAGTTTCAAAGAGAAAAGGATCATATCACTTTGATCCTGGAAAACAGAGTCACACACATCCACGGTAAAATGACTGCCCCTCCAAGTTCCAGATGGGAAGACCAGGGAAGAATGAGGGGCTGATCTTAATAAGACATTTCCTAAAATTGCCAAAGAACTCTACTGCCCCAAATGTTGAAGTGTAGGAGGTAACTCAGAAGTTATACACTGGGATAACTTTGGGGGGAAAAAAGTAAAGGTCTACCAAGACCCGCCATGTTAGGTCTTTAGAAAACCAGTGTGTTAATGCCACTCCTTTTCCCTTTTTCTGTCTGGTCAGTTCTCTCTTGGGTAGATGTTGGATTTTAAAACCATTGCTAGAATCATATTGGCTTCAAAGTATACTTACTGAGTTTTAGAATTCCCCCATCCCTTAACAAAGACTCATTCTTCATTCACTAATATCTCCAACCCTGCTGCTTTGGTCAGAGGCGTTGGCTCTAAATTCCTGAGAATTATCTTATCACACTGAACTGGAGATCCCTTCTACCCAACCCCTTTCCTAGTCCATGAACAAGTTCTTGTAATTGAGAAATCTAGAAATACAGTGGAATACTGCTTAACATTGCTTTGCATTATACTGATTCGGGTGATACTATTTATCAAAATATGTTTGTCTAAACACAACTCTACATAATTACAAAACAACATTAAAATAACATGTCTGACCTAAAGAACAGTGTGCTAGTCGGCTGACCCAACACCAACAAAATCAAGAATTTCCATTGTATTTGTTACATAGTCATTATCTAAAAGATTGCCAGGGTCTTTAGGGAGAATATTTAAAACATAACTACCACTCAAAATAAAAAGTTTTCAGTCAACGACTTCATGAATATAAAAGCTGCTTATTCATAGTCAGGAATCAGAAGGATTAAGAACTCGTTAGGTCACGCGAACCTAAGAAGGACCTTCTCGGACTCCTTGTTCTGGTGGCCTGAATGAACTGTGGTGTGACATTGGAGGACAGAGGGAAAGAATGTCAGTGGAATGGAATTATCTTTTTCCTTCTTATGACACAGTCCCAGGGTCCTTGCTTTGGAAGGCAGTGGCTTGGGAAAACTGCCAGTTCCTCTGGGCTATCCTCCTGAACAGCTCAGGTATCTTGGCCTGTGTTCCCCCAAATCTGTTTCATGAATGAGAACTTTCAGTCATTGTCCCCTGGGGAATGTGGATGTGTGAGTTTCTCAGACCAGGCCGTAAGTGTTCCAATTCCTGCCCATCTGGTGCTGCTGATGGTACAAAGTGAGCTCCAGTAAGTGGCTTATTTTTAAGCCTGGTTTTCTACATGTCTGATGTAACTGATAGGAACACGGTGTCAAAATCAATATTTATTTAAAAAAATGGTCTTGGGTTTAATATATGTCTTTGAAACAAATCATGGCACGCTCTCCAAATGGACAACTTCGAAGAGTTCTCTGGTGCCATCTGGGTAGAACGGATTTAGTGCAGGGCTGTGGGAGAGATCTATCTACATAAGGAAATAAACAGAGAGTGGTCTTTAGGAAAAAAGGGAAGTTAGTGTCATTTAGAGGCATTTAGAACCTGTAATATTTGGAACCATGATAAAGGAAATAAAGATATAAAGGTCTAATAAGAGTAAACTTTTATCAACATTGCTACGCTTAAAACAATTGATATTCACAACATATAATAAAGTGCATAGCTTTTTAAAAATTATACCAACCTTAGTGTCTTTTCCAAAGACTTTGGAATGGAAACAAATCCAGTTTTCTGATACAAAGAGCTTCCCCTGGTATAATATCTCTTTCTGTAGGGCACAGGTAAAACCTGGGAAAACAGACACAGGTATAAGAGCACTTAGAATTTCCATATGAAATAGAAATTATGTAAATATGTTGGTTCCCTAGGATTGGCAGAGATAGTACACTCATACTCAAAGATCTTTCACCTGTTCGTCAGCCATCTTTCGTGGCATAAAGCTATGGGGATGAGAGTTTGTTTTTTAATTCAAAGTCTTTACATGCCTTAGTATGAAAGTCAAAATGGCCAGGCAAGTCTATCACTGTAAACGAGAGTTCCAGAATGGAGTTTCAAAATCTCCTCTGTTGAGGAAGGTGTGTCACCTTGAGCTAGTGGTGGCACTCCTGCCCCTCCTTCCCTGGGACTGTCACTAATGACTCCTTTTGAAATTGATGGTCTCAGTGTGGGAAGAGCATGTGACCCACATGTTTGGGCATCATGGCAGGAATCCAGCCTCCTGCTTAACATGGGTACACTGAGAGGCCACAGTGGAACCCTGGTCCTAATGAACCTAAGAGGAGCCAAGGAGGTCTTCATTGGCGTGCCGGGCAGGATGTCTGGGGGTGATCACAGCACCCCGCATCGTATAGGGTTGGACACACGTCTGTGCACTACGATCTGTGTTTCCTTTCAGCCTTCTTTCAGCAGCCCCTCTTCCTCCAGTCTTGTTATCCCAAATCTCAGGACAACCCACACACAGTGCATTGCAGCAGTCAATACAGAAGGTGAGATCATTCCGGAATCACCTTGGAGGGTTCCCTGTCATGGGGAGGGATTCGGTTTCCCCTTCTACTCTCCTTCAAGGAGCTGGGTGACAGCTGAATGAAGCTGGCACACCTGTTACATAGTAACTTTCAAAAGACCTGTTTGCCTGGCTGCTTCAGGCCCCAGACGGAGCCCGCTTTCTTCCCCCAAACCAATTAGCATCCTGTCAAATAAGTCAGACAGGCCGGGACTTACTTTGCCTCAGTGGTTCCTCAGTTGGGACATCAAGGAACAACTTGTGGAAGTGCATATTCGCCTTGTACTACGGTGAGAACACAACACAGGAGTTACTGCTCGCATTTCTTGGTGAAACGTCGTAAATCTGAACTTCAATTTAAATTACATAACAAGGGGCGCCTGGGTGGCTCGGCCCGTTAAGAGTCCAACTCTTGATTTCCGCTCAGGTCATGATCTCAGGGTCCTGGGATCGAGCCCCATGGCGGGCTCCGCATTCATCGGGGAGTCTGCTTGTGGATTCTCTCTCCCTCTGCCTCTGCCCCTGCCCCGCTCTCTCTCTCTCTAATAAATAAATTTTAGAATAAATAAATTACCTAACAAATTTCCCCTCCCTTGATACAGTCTCTTTAGGAATTCCTTCTGTCTGATCTTACAGTCTTCAACACAAGCCTTCAAAGTGGGCACGGCACAAAGGTTTCATTTTCCAACAAGATTAGTGACTTGCCGGTGGGACAGACATCTGTGACCTTGCTGCAGCTGGTGGTCACTGTTCTGCCCAGGAGGCTCGACAGGGTGTCCCTAATAAAAAATGACATGAAGCTCCAAGGGATCTCACCAAAGAAGGCAGGAGATCCCAGGGCTCTACAGATACAAGGACTCTCAGAGGAGGGCAGTGGTTAAAGGGTCAGATCAACCTGAGGTCAAGTCTTGGCTACACCTCTCCCTGGGTGTGTGATTGTGGCCAAGTGAGGGAGCCTTGCTGAGCCTCAGATTCTTCTTCTGTGCCTGAGGGCAAATACACTCCCTGCCTCAGAGGGCTGCCATAAGGCTTAAATGGGACAATTCATCCGAAAGACCTACCACCTGGTATTGTCACTCCCACTACTTTTGTTGTAAGGGCATTTCCTTAGCCAGTGTCAGGGGGAGATAACTCTCTAGGGCGGTAGAAGGCATGTGTTTACACAGCTGTAACAACAACAATGGACAGCCAGCAATTTCCATCTGGTAACCTGCCTTCACAAACACCATCCCCAAAATAACCTGGGGAGCTGATGTCCCCATTCCATGGGTCTGGACAGTGTGCCTCAGGGAAACTGAGTCACTGAACTGGCGCCACACAGCTAAGAGGTAGAACTGGTCCTCCTTCCACTGGACCTCTGCCTGACAGGATGCTTTTGATTAAAAAAAAAAAAAAAAAAAAAAAGGTCTTGTGAGCAGAACAGAGAGAGTACAAGCAGGCCCTTCATGTTTTATTATCCAAACTGGGAGTGGTCTCAATGGCAGGACCGGCCCTAGTATTGCTCCAAGGAAGAGTTTAGAGAGGTCTGCAGATGAAAGGTGGTCCCCACAAGTCAGCTATTTTATAAACACCTCATGTAAAGTAGGTCACCTTATGCTGCTTCCTAAAAGTACAGTTTGCATCTAAAACGTTACCTGGATTAAAGCTAGGTATTCCAGGGGCGCTTTCCTGAGATTTGTTTTTTGTTTTGTTTTGTTTTTAATGGCTACAGTGAGAATCAGCTGCACAACTTGATTTAAAAATAACCTGGGCCAGAGACGCCTGGCTGTTTCAGTCAGTTGAGTGTCTGCCTTTGGCTCAGGTCATGATCCCAGGGTCCTGGGATCGAGTCCCACATGAGGCTCCTTGCTCAGCAGGAAGCCTGCTTCTCCCTCTGCGTCTGCCCCTCCCTCGCTTATATTCTCTCTCTCAATCTGACAAATAAATAAATAATCTTAAAACAACAACAACAAAAAACCTGGGCCCAAAAGAAAAAAAAATCCATAATATAAAAAACCTAGAACATGGAGTCTTCAAAAATGTGAACGTAAAACGCAAAAAAAAAAAGGGGGGGGTGGTGGGAATGATCTATATTAAAAGCGACAGATAAATGTAATACATGCCTCCTGACTGGATTCTAGAGATAGGGGAGCAAAAAACATTTATAAAGGCATCCACTACTGGGACAATTATGGAAATCCAAAATGGATTTTACAGTAATAATATTTTGGTATATTTACTATTTAGTTATATTTCTCGTGTGTCCCAGTGGGTTTTTGTTGTTGTTTTTGTTCTAGTTCTTAGGGGAAACATGTATTCAAGTATTTAGGGGTGAGGTGTCAATAACCACCTCAATCCATTGACCCCAGTAAGTATGCCACACTCTAAGACACAGAACTGGGCTTTGACACCCATCTGGGTGTGTTTTAGAGCAGAACTAAACTACTCCTGGACGAGAATCATGACCCTGTTCACAGGTCTCCCCCCTCCGTGTGCAGCTGGGTAGCCTTCTATTCAGACGGGTGTCGTATCAGACTCTAATTTTAATGCAAGGCTATCACAGCTCTCCTGGTCTTGGTTAATTATTAGACCAGCACATGACTGTGTGGGTCCCTGCTCTCCGGGCGCTTGTCAGAGTTAGGGGTTGGAACTCACCACCACTCAGAATATACTGAAAGGTCAGTGGTGAAATAACAATATTGATTAAAAATCAACCGAAGGAACTGCATCCTGTTCTTTCTTCCAGATTCTTTGCCATCTCTGGCCATGTGAGTCCTGGCCAGCAAGAAGATGCACATTTGGGTTTAGCGCCCCTGCCTTGACATGACGCACACCGCCTTCCCAAGTTACCTGGCTGGAAGACGAATACTTTTTCCTGTCCATCTTAGATTCATTTTTGCTTTCTGTTTTACAGTCATTCTTATCGCTTGCTAAAGAGGCACCATCAAAACTGGATTTTGACCTGAGGAAAGAGAATCCAGGGAATTGATAAGATGAATTTTGTACACTACTCATTAATTGTATCGTAATAAATCTTGATTGTTATACCATCTCACGAGAAAACCTGACATTCGGTTTTCTTTTCTCCACCTCAGTGATCACTCATAATACTCTAGGAGCATTTACGCAGTACAGTGCGTAGGAGACCGGGATGGGTTCAGCAGCCTACAATCTCAAACTGCAGAGAAATGTGGACTTATAGAAGGGAGAAATATCAACTGAATTGTGGAGATCATTAAACCATCTCAAAAGTATTCTAAGCAATAAAAGAGTAGTATAGGCAAATTATTAAACAAAACTACAGCTATAGTTCAATCAAAGAATATTTTTGTTTCAGAATTCTATTAATATTTAACATGTGTTAATTGAGGAGGGCATTGTATTAAAGGCCATGAGGCACACAAGACAGTCTTTTTCCTTAAGGAGCCTGTGAATTCATCAAACAACTGTTTTAAAAGGGCAGTACAAGATTAGCACCAAATAATACATACCGTGGGTTTTAGGAGGAACTAAAGAGGCACTAAGTCCATCAGATCAATAGCACAAGTTGGGTTTAATACACTGGGACTCAGAAGATGAGCAGGAGGTGGGTATGAGGAAAAGAGACAAAACATCCCAGAGTAGGGAAAACAGAAGTGAAATCAGGATAAAAATGACGAATGTGTCTGCAAGTGAAGTCTTCCTTTTTTCTGGTAAGGGCAGGGCTCCAGCATGTGTTTCTGAGATGATGCCGGTCCTGGCTCTCTGTTTGAGTACATATGTGAATTTACACATGTCTTCAGCCCCACAGACACACAGAATCATTTCAGAGTGGAATGCATGTGTGATTTTTAGAGGTCTATATATGTGTGATTTTTTAGAGGTCTACCTAGGACCAAGTTTTAGGATACAATTATGTAGGGGTTTTTTAAATATTATTATTGGGAAAAATGACACATGAAATCCATGATTCCACAATATGATTCCTTACAAAGAGGCTCAGTTAAAACTACTATTTGGGGGCGCCTGGGTGGCTCAGTTGGTTAAGCGATTGCCTTCGGCTCAGGTCATGATCCTGGAGTCCCGGGATCGAGTCCCGCATCGGTCTCCCTGCTCAGCGGGGAGTCTGCTTCTCCCTCTGACCCTCTTCCCTCTCGTGCTTTCTATCTCTCATTCTCTCTCTCAAATAAATAAATAAAATCTTTAAAAAAAAAAACCTACTATTTGGTTCAAAGCAGATGTAAGAATCTTGAGTAATTCAGGTGGTATGAGGGTATGACTCAGAGACAGAAATGACTGAAGCCAGATTTTAGACTCTGGGTCTCTCCAGCTGTGAAAAGATGGACTATCTGATGTTCCGGGCCCCTGCCAGCCCCAACAGTTTGGGTCCATGTTGCTCTAACCACAGGTGAAGATTTGGATTTAGCTACAGACCAGTGACCCTATTCACAGATATAAGTTCCTCTTGAATTCTAGGAATCACTTTTTTTCCCTTTGAAATTACGAGTAAACACTGAACTCAAAAATAAAACTATTTTTACAAATGTCAAATTATCTGCTATTTCTACTATCCACTGATCTGATTCAATCACCTCTACTGATTCACGTTTGTAAACGTTAATGGAATTGCCAAGGCAACGAGCTCTCGAAGGACCGTCAGCAAATGCGAAAAGGAGGGCAGCTGTGCCCTTGATGGATTCAATAGCCACAGCAGAATGGGCTTGTCTGCAGAGCACGGCGCTCTGTGAACGGGGTGCTGATTTACATAGTGCCGTGTCTTTGTGCCTCCTGAGCTGTGGTACTCTCGTTTGTCACAGGTGACTATGAGCTGGACGGAAAGCCCAGTGCAAAATGAAAATGCCGGGCCTCTTATTAAAAAATCAGGAATTTCCAGCCAGCCAGAGCAGAAGAGTAAAGCCAGCGTGGGGCTCTCTGCGACTACACCGAGGCCCCGCCCGTGCCGGTTAACAAGCATGCTCTCACGGTGGGTCCTGGGTGCATCATTCCCAACCCAAGCCTGGGGGAGGCGGAGTTAAGGCACCCTTTTCAGGCTCCCGCAGGAGCCAGCCAGTAATGGTGCAAGATTCAAGAAACCACATGCTTTGTGCCTTTGCCCAGAGACTCGTGCGGTGAGTGCGGCGAGATGCGTGGACAGGAAACTAGAGAAAAGAGGGTTGAACGTGAGCTGTGTCAAGCCAGCCATGCAGAACCGAAGATGAGAGAACTGGAAGCAACAGAAAAGAAAAATCTGGGGGAGAGAGAGATGAGACTTACGCTTGGTCTTGAATGAAGTAAGGATTTGGAGAGAAGGAATGGGCTGGGTAGCCAGGAAGGAAAGGGAAAGGCAGGAGTTACTTAATTACCCTTCAGCAGAAGCCAGGACACCCCGAAAGGTGCAGTTCTGACAGTTCCAGGATCAGGGAGAAGAAAGGAGAGCAATCCCTCCACCGCTCGGTACAGACCCCCGGCCACACTGCCCCATAACTGACCATGGGTATAGCCATTCTCTTTTCAGGGCAAAAAAAAAAAAAAAAAAAAAAGGCAACGTGAAGTTCCTACTTCTTCCTTGCATGGGAAAGCAAGCATGTAAGTGGAGGCTCTGAGAGTGCCAGGGAGCGTGGCTCCGCTCAGGCTCATGACCAGACTGCTACTGGCTCCCAGCACCGGCCCCCAGGAAGCAGCAGTCCCCCAACACAGGCACAGCCTGGCCCAGGATCCCAGGCAGGTGGCTGCCGGGAAGGCAAGGCAGCAGGTGAGCACTTGCACAGGTGGAATGGGCACTCCCACCTGGGCAGGTCTCATGGGCTCCCTGGCCACCTTTGCAGGTGCTTCCGAGGTCTGTGCCAGACAGGGGGCTGTCCTGGCTTTAGGTAGCAAGAGCTGTCCCTGAAGAAAGGGGCAGATGTTCTGCTGTAGGCTGGGGCAGGGAGGAGGAAGGATGCTGCCAGCAAGAGACGAGGCAGGAAGGCAAGCTTCAGCTTCAAAGACAGGCACCCCGCTTCTTGGCCAGGGGTTTATTTGCCTACAGTAGATCCTGACTCTTCACCACCACCACCAACCTAGAAACACGGGCTCCTCCCAGCAACCCCTTGTCCCCAAAGGCCCCAAAGAACAAAGTGTCACCGCCAGGACTCACCGCAAGGAAAGGATTCTCTTCTGGTCTGGGGACTCGGCCTCGCTGGACGGACTTGGGGACTGGATTGCTGGCGACTTGCAGATCTTCTTTTTCTCCTCCACACCATTCTCAGCCTCTGAGCTGGAGAAGAGAGAAGAACGCTTGGCCTTAGACATCCAGGGAAGGGGGTGGAAGGAAAAACGATGAAAACACCTTGCTTTCTGGAGAAGGGAATGATGTTCAATCCCCATAGCAGGCTGAAGTCAACCTGGACGGCCGTGCCCTTTCCAGATCTCCATTCTGCCGCCTCTCGGCTGGCCCCTCAAGGGCATGAGCTCCAGGTCATGCCTGCTGTGGCAGCTAAATGTCCGACTTTGTGGGAACTGGGTGGCTCCCAGGTGTGCGCACTGCTCAGCTCTGCCCTGCTAGCTGCGTGCTGGGGCGACAGATCACCCGGAGGCTGGGAGGGCCTGTGTACACACGTGCTCGGTGCACACGCTCACGCGTGGCCTTCTGCCAGGTGTGAGCCTTCCTGCTTCGAGCCCCCACCCCTTTGTTTGCATTTCTCTTGTGTCATTTACCACCCACTGTTGTAGTTATATATAGCTCCCACTTTGGGTTGTTGGTATTTTAACCAAGCACTTCTCTAAGCCGTGTGCAGTCTCTAATCTACACAGCCACCCAGGCTGGGTAGGAATTATAACAACCCCCTCTTCAGAGATCTGGAATTTGAGGCTCTCAGATATCATCCACCTTGCCCAAGTTCACAGAACCGGCATCTGTCAAGCTTAGGTCTGTCCATCGAGGAGGCCTCTGGGTACACAGCCATTCTCACACCTTCCCTTTGCCCTGCCATCCACCCACCTCCCGCCCCCAACCACTTGTCCTTCCATCTAGCCCCCTCATTAGCTCTTCAGTGCGAGAGGGCTCCACGGCGGCGTGAGGATCTTAGTGATTTTTATACTGACCACAGGGTCTAGGTGAGTGCTGGTATCTAATCATCAACAACAGGCTTTTAGAAAACTAGGGCTGACTTTGGTGAAAGAAGGATTAGAGGGGAAAGCAAGTTAGGAGGGTTTGCACACGGCACCACTAACAAATGGAGGTAACCGGTGGGGTGGATGCAGGAGTTGAGCTCCCTCAATCTTGGGGACCAGGGACACGAATTCCAATTTGGGAAAGAAAGAGGAGGGTGAGGAACGTGGGAAGGGAGAATATGTGGTGTTTTACATGGGCCAGACCTTCTTCCGTGCCAGCCTGCAAAGCACAGAATTCACAAGACACATTTCTGGGAATGTGAGAGCTCCAGGGAGGCTGAACATAAAGGAAAACATATTAAGATAGCATTGCAATGACAGTTTGGCTACTTTGAATCCTAATTTACCACCATTTGGTGTCTTCACCTGCATGTGACCGCACGGGCAGGAAATGTGAGTGGTTAGTTGAAGCTTTGTGGTTGCTTGCTTAGACTTAGAGTTTTATCACTTTTCACAGTGTGTTCCAGTTCCAGCCCATTCCAGTAAGACTGCAGTAGTGTCAAAATCAAGACCAAGTGTATCTGACAAGGTAGCCAGTTAATAATCCCTACAGACAGTGGATGCCCTTACATTGTAGTTAGCATTCCTAAGTACGTCAGCATTCCCCCACCTTCCACTTCTTCAATTCTCAAAGTACTCAAAAGCACTTAGGTACGTTCGAAGAGCTCAGTCCATAATTGAATTGTGTGATGTGACAAAAGGCACATGGAAGTCTTTGCAATATTAACAGGAAAACACTGCTTTGGTTTGAAATAGAGGGCTCTATTTAATTTTAGCATCAAGTTGAATTCATAGAACGGTTAAGGGGCTGTAGAGCATACCTCTGCCCACCCACCCTCCCTAAGACACACACATTATTCGAGTTCTTCAAAAGCATCAGACGGTAATCCACTTGTGAGGCCCTCTTTAAGTAGGGAGAATAAGTGTATGTGGACCCTCAATAATCCACTCGGCATTTATTTATGTATTTACTGAATTTTATGCATGAGCCAGAGCCGCTGCTATCCTGTACAGCACCTCTGCGTACTGAGAAAGGATCCTACCCCCAAGAGGCATTCACCAAAAGCTGCCCCTCTGTTTGGAGGTAGCAGGCCTATTGCTACATGGCCTGGCAGATCTAAGGTACCCCTAGCTCTGGGCAAATGTCTTATTTATCCACCTCCTAGACTAAATTCCTTACAAACAGGGAACGTCTGTGTTTTTCCACAGCGCTCAGCTCAGCATTTGATGCTCCTAGTGGTCATTTATACGTGTTGACTGATGTGCGACTCATTCTGCAGTGTCTCACAGAGGAAGTGAAATTCATGTAGGGGCCCATTCAATTTTAGAGTTTTGTCGACTTAAAGATGCCACAGGGGCGCCTGGGTGGCTCAGTCGGTTAAGCATCTGTCTTTGGCTCAGGTCAAGATCCCAGGGTCCTGGGATCCAGCCCTCGTCCCCCCATGTGGGGCTCCCTGCTCAGCGGGGAGCCTGCTTCTCCCTCTGCCCCTCCCCCACCCCCCCACCCCCTGCTAGTGCTCTCTCTCTCAAATAAATAAAATCTTTAAAAAAAAAAAGCTGCTATGGAAACTCAAGCAAGTGAATTCCTAACACAGGAGAGCTCACTCCCACAAGCACCCCTCCCTGCTGAGGTGTTGTGGCAGCGGACTGAAACTATAATAGAATCCAAATAGCAAAGACTGGCCAGGTGTGGGAGGGCCATGAGATGGTTCTACAAGGCCCCTCTGTAACTTTAAAGTTACTGTCAGTAAAGCTGAACTCACCGGCAAGGGAGATGAAATAACAGGTCTTGTTTAAGTCATGAAAAAGAAGAAACCAGGTATTTTTCTTTTTTTTTATAACCAAGAAGAAAAGGCCTTTCAGGGACATTGACCATAAGAGTCAACTAAAAAACAAAACAAAAACCAAACCAAAAGAACAAACTTCTCTTTTTTCCTTTCTCTCTCTCTCCCTCTGTCTCTCTCTTGATTTACTAATAGACAAAGCCTAAAGGTTTATTTCTTCTTGGACACACCCATGGTGTGGCCACCGCAGCCTGTGGTCTTGGTGTGCTGGCCTCGGACACAATGTCCCCACGAGTGGCGCAGCCCGCTGTGAGCCCAAATCTTCTTCAGTTGCTCCAGGTCTTCCTGGAGTTTGTTGTCCAGACCATAGGCCAGGACCTGGCTGTATTGTTTTCCATGCTTGACATGCTTTAGTCCGTTCAAGAACCAGTCTGGGATCTTACCCTGTAAGGATTCTGTATAATGGTGATCACCCATCCCACCTCCTCCTCCGTGAGTTCTCCTGCCTTCCTGGTGAGGTCAGTGTCTGCTTGTCCCAGCACCACGTGGGCCTGTCTCTGCCCCACACCCTTAACTGCAGTGATGGCAAAGGCTCTTTTCTGCCCAACCATCGACTGAGTACTCGCAAAATGTGCTGAGCCTCTCAGGGATCACTAGACATGGCCCTAGTGGCGACCCTAATGGCAGGTGTTCCAACCTTCCTCTTTCAACACATGTTTACTCAAAGGGTCCCTGCTGGCAGGGCAGGATGCTGAGCTGGGCAGGTGACACAGATAAGTGACTGACAGTTTTAAGTAGTCTCAGAAGAACCAGATGCTGGAAACACACGATCAACCTTCACTCGGCCTTGGCAAGTTTTTTCTTCTCCCATCTCCAACCCAATGTAAGTATCACTTGTGGGCCTTGAAAGCTTTTCAGTGGGAATTCCAGGGCACTGAGACAGTCCTGCTTGTACAAACCAAGCCTGATGTTACCCTTTGGGGGAATGCATTTTTATTACCAGCTAGGAAGTGCTGGTTTCAATAAGACACTGCCCCATACGGTTACACAATCTATAAATAAAAAACGGGTTGGACAGTCAGTCCCTATCGAGAGTGTAATATGAGTCAATTCCCAGACCTTATTAATCTGATGATGAGATGACTCAGATTTCACAATTTTTCAGAACTGGAATTCTTATATTCCTCCTGGAAGGAGTCCTCTCTGAGTTTAGGGTAAACTCAGCTCTCCTTTCTCCTATCCCATTAATCTCCCAGGCCCTTCGTCCCGCATGCTGAGAATGAGCTGTACTCGGCCATCATCCCAAGCAAGTCAAGGTAAGTAGCTATTGGGCAGAATGATGATTAAGTTGCATCTCAGGTGAGTGATTAAGTGGCGTCTCAGGTAAACAAGTGCCTCCTATGGTTCAGTCCAGGCAGTTGTGTTCCTTTCTAATCATAGTGGCGAATCCCTGTGTTCAAATCTACCTTCAAGTTAAATCAGTCTAAGTTAAAGCATAAGAAATGTCATCAATTCCCTTATGGTAGCATGGATGAGGGTAGTTTTAAATCCACTGTTCCTTAAAAAAAAAAAAAAAAATCCCTGATCACCAGATGCTGAAACCACAGTCTTGACCAACAAGGTTTGGAAGTGACTTGACGAGAGGCTATGTTTCACCAGAGGATCTCAAATGGATAAAGTCCTGGAAGTGGGACTGTTGTGATTAAGGCCAGGTCTGTCACAATACAGTGTTGTGCTGAAACCCTATACTGGAAACTAGGATACACCTGGGGAGGCCAAGACCTAGGGCACCAAACACTTGTTTTTGTTTTTTTAAGATTTATTTATTTGAGGGGGGAGGTGGTGGGGGAAAGGGAGAGAGAGAATCTCAAGCAGACTCTCCGCTGAGTCCGGAGCCCAGCGTGGGGCTCGATCTCACAACCCAGAGATCATGACCTGAGCCAAAATCACGGATCAGACGCCTAACCGACTGAACCACCCAGGTGCCCCACCAAACCCCTGTTTTTGGTGTGTTGCTTGCTTAGTGGCTTCAAGGCTGGCTGGCAGGCGAGGGCGGCACTATGTGGGAACAAAGAGATGGACTACAAGAACAGAGGAGGGCTCTGGGCGTGGCTGGGCAGCAGCCATAGTACAAATCGAGACATCATGGTAACCATAAGAAGGGTGCAGAACAGGGCACAAAGGTGCAGGAGGTGGTGATGAAGAGCAGGGCCTCTCTAAGACCCCTCAGCCTCTCCAACTGCAAAGTAAATGCAAGATCTCCCAAACTAGATTTTGTAAGCCAGGAAAAAGTCTTTCATTTACAGTTCTGATACAGTAG